TTCTTTTCCTGGACTGATGAATCCCCAATCATAAATTCTCTTCCCCATGATGTGATTTTAATGAGTGGGGGTTAATTGTGCCAGAGGTTATCTGGCCAGAGGGTTGGTGTTGGATATGGTCTGGCCCAGGAAAGTGGAAAAGGGGATGGGGAAGTGTAAAATGGGCCAAATCTTGGGAGTTGAGTGGCAAGGAAGGGGACAAATCCACTTCCCCCTGGACTGTCCCAGTATGACCAGTAAGGGGGGCAGACCCCTTTTTGCAGAGCTTGGGGAACTGGTGATGTTGGTGCCACATCCCAGGAAGGGGCTTTCAGGCATCAGCCAAGCATGGAACTGGGTCTGTCCCTGTCCCCACAGGCCCTGGATGGGGATATTGGCCCTGGCACAGCCTCTCCAGAGGTTTGTCCCTGTCCCCTACCCTGGTCTGTTGGGATCTTCCCAGGAGACATCAGGGAGGTAGAGCCACGTGCTCTGGGATGCTCCTGGGACATGGGGGTTGTTCCTGGCACCCCCTGAGCTGTTAGATGTTTTCCTTGTGCTGACCCATCCCTACAAGCCAGGAAACACCCATTTTTGGAGGACTTCTGTATCAGGAGCTGTGACACCAGCACTGAAGGCCACATCAGTCCCCAGCTAGTGCAGGTGGGGTTTGACTCCCAATGTGTCCCATTTCCTGGGATTTTGTGCTGTCAGAGGGACAGAGCTCGATGACAGCCTCCTCAGCCATGGGATCCCCTGCCTGTTCCTGCCCTTCCCTGCTTGTTCTGTCCTTCCCTGCCTGTCCCTGCCCAAAGCAGGGCACAAGGGGAGCATGGAGAGGTTTGGAAGAGCCAGGAGCAGCCTGGGGTGCTGATAACCCCCACACCTCCGGGTGTTGGACTTATCTCTGAGCCCAGCTCTGGCCCTCCGTCACTCCCCTGCAGTGCCTTTAGCCATGGTGAAGCATTCTGAGGTCCCATGGGCCATTATTTGTCACCCTGTGGGGTTGTTGTCAGGGTCCAGAGGCAATCCCACTCCCCAGGGCCCTCCCTGGCTGTGGGAGCACCATCCCTGACTTGCTGCACCTTGCTAGGGCTGGAGGAACAGGTCCAAGGTCCCCAGGCTGCCTGGAGGAGTTGGATCAGCCAACCCCACACAGGGACAGGCGGATTTGCGAGCTGGTGCCAGAGATACTGTGGTTTATAGATCCAGATTGATTTGTTTTCCATGTATTCGGGTCTTTTCCACACTCTGGAGTGTCTGGCTGAGCGCAGCCAGCCCCGACTGCCACCCTTGGGTCCTCCCACCCCTCGTGGCATCCCAAAGCCAGTGTGCCACAACCCTTTCCACACTCTCAGGAATAATTCTGGGGCAGTGGATGTTTGTACAACCCTGATCCCGCAGAATGGGGTTTGACTCCAGCACTCAGCAACCAGGACTGAGCTCCCAGCACCCACCACCCAACTCCCAGTGCCCTACACCCAGCTCCCCAGCACTCCAGCAGCCATATCCCAGACATCCATCACCCAGCATCCATCACCCAGCATTCCATGTCCCAGCATCCCCAACTCCCCATGCCCTGCATCTCAGTGCTCCCAGCACTCCCAGCCTGCATCAGCCCCTGCTTCCAGCTCCCAGTGTTTCCAGTGCTCCCAGCACTCATCATGCATCAGCCATGACTTCAGCACCCAACTTCCCACACTCATCTCCCAGTGCTCCCATTTCTACCAGCATCCTACACCCAGCTCCAGTGCTCCCAGCAGGCATCAGCCATCACTCCCAGCACCCAGTTCCCAGTACTTCCAGCATTCCCAGCACCCATCTTCCAATGCTTCTAGTGCTCCCAGCACCCATATCCCAGCACTTCGCACGCATCTCCCGCTGCTCCCATTTCCCAGCATCCAGCTCCCAGTGCCCCCAGTGTTCCCAGTACCCCCAGTGCTCCCAATGCCCGCAGTGCCCCCAGTGTTCCCAGTTCTCCCAGTGCCCCCGGGGTTCCCAGTCCCCGGCCACTCCCCCCACCCGTGAGCGCGGCGGGGCTCCAGAGCCGGACACGTGTGCCCCGCTCGGCCCCGCCCACCGCGCCTAATAAGGACATGGCCACGCCCACCACGTTACGCAACACGCCTGCCTCGCCCAACCCGGAAGCCCCGCTCCGAACGTCCCCGCCCCTCGCCGTAGCCCCGCCCCCAGCGCGTGCGCGCCCGGCCCCGCCCACCAGCGGCTCCCCAGCTGTTGGCCCCGCCCCCCGTGCCCCCCGTATACCCCCATGTCCCCCTGGTGTCCCCTCCCATGTCCCCCTGGTGTCCCCAGACCTTCCCAGGCCCCCTGTGCTTCCATGTGCCTCCATCCGTGGTGTCCCTCTGTCTCTGGAGTCCCTCGTGTGCCCCCATGTCCTCTGTGTCCCCCGTGTTCCTCCGATGTCCCCTGTCCCCCTCATGTCTTCTGCATCCTCTCATCTGCTCCATGACCTCCGTGGGCCCTTGTGGCTCCCATGTCCCCCAGTGTCCCCCAGTGCCTTCCCTGTGTCCCTTTTATGTTCCCCTGGTCCTGCCAAGGCCTCTGAGTACCCTCCTGTGTCCCCATGTCCATGGTGTCCCCTGCCCTCATGTCCTTCATGTGCCCCCATGTTCTCCGTGTGCCCCTGTGCCTCTCGGGTCCTCGGTGCCCTCCATGTCCCCATGTCACCCGTGTCCCCATGTCACCCATATCCCCACACACGTCTGGCACATGTGCTGAGTCTTCCCAGGAAAATGGGGAGCAGGGACCGTGTCCCCCCTGGGTGATGGGGACAGGGGCCGTGTCCCCTGGGATTACAGAGACCACATCCCCCTGAGGTCACTGAGCCCTGCCCTCAGGCACAAGGGGATCAAGGACAGATGGACACCCAGGACATATTGACGTGAGCCTGTCCCCCCCTGCTGTCACTTAGCACCAAGGTCCACAGCTGAGCCCTGCGGTGACACTGTTTATTGTAGGACCTACAAAAAACCAGAATCTGCACAGAGGGTCCTGACTCAGCCCAAAAGGGGGGGGAAGTACACGGGTGGTCGGGGGGAACCAGGGGGGTCTGGGGGGGACCCCATGGGCAGCACAAGCAGGTTTGGGACTGGGGGAGTCATCTGGGAATCCCATCCTGGCTGTGCCAGAGGATCCCCCAGTGAGATGGGGACCACTTGATTCCCAAAGCAGGATCACACGACTGCCTGGGTGCGACCACTAATGATTAAATAATTAGATTAATTAATCAATTTTCTAAGGTACAAGAAAGAGGATGTCTGTGGTGGGTAAGGCACTGCTGGACATTTCCGACGGGCCACCTTCCCAAATCCGAAAGCAAAGGTGTGGGACAGGGCCGGGTCGGTGGCCGGTAAATGAAGCGCTGGCGGTAACGAGACAATCCCAAAGGATGGATTGATCTGCTCGTCGATCCCTGGACCAGCTTTCCCTGCTGTTGGTGTCCCATAGATGTAATCCTCCATCCAGAGGGAATGCGGCTCCCGAGGGATTCACCCTCCAGCCAAGTCTCGATGCCGGCACATCCCGCAGGGACGGGGATGCTGCCAGCCCTGCACAGATCCCCCAGACCCCAAATCTTTGTCCCTTCCTGGCCTTTTTCCGCTCCTTTTTCCGCTGTCATCGGGACCAGCGTCAGGCCAACACTGACATCAAGTGGCTGCCGGGATCCCTCGCACTCCGGGGCTGTCTCCTCTGTCCGTGTGTACCGAGCTGCCCAGCACCGCCCGGCCGGCCTCATCCTGCCCCGGAGCGGGACCGAGAGGCTCCGGAGCCGCGGCCGCAGGTGCAGCGCATCCATCGCCTGTGTCCGGGCGGGCGGGATGCATCCAGCCGTGCTCCATCTGCCTGTCCCCAGCCAGGCCACCCCCGTGTCCTATCCTGTCCCCGGCAGTCGATATCCCAGCGGGGTCGAGCCGAGCGCTGCCGGCACCGCCGAGCCCGGAGCATCCACACATCCCCCACCCCCCGGAGCCGGGGGACCCCTGCCCGCGGCACCCCGGGCCCGGCTCTGCCCCGCCGCTGCCGAGGTCGCGGTGATAAAGGCACAGCGAGGTCGTGGTGACCCCGCCACTGCCCTGGGGACATTTGTCCCCTACTCCCTGCCGGAGACCGTGGACTTTGTGCCGAGCCTGGGAGCGGCACCGGGACTCGTCTGGCGGCGCTGGCACAGCCCCAAATCTCCCCGAGACCTGGCTCCGGACAGCAGGTAACCCCAGGTGACACCCCCTCTGCCCCGGCTGCACTGCCACCGGGCTCCCCAGCGACTCCGGCTCTGTGCGGTGCCACTGCCTGATCCTCGGCTCTGGACTCAGCTCCGGGAGGAAATCACGGGGCTCTTCCCATTTTAAATCTGGGCAAACGGCAGCACCGGGCGGCTGCACGTTCCTGCTTTTGGGGGATAAAGCTGGGAAACATATTTTTCCTCCAAACCACCTGCTTTGGAGGCCCGGAGGAGTTTTGCAACTCCCCATTCACCTTCAGCCGCTCTTCCCTGGAGCCAGGGCCGAGTTCTCCCAGGAAGCCGAAGCCCAGGGCTGGCGTTGGGGACATCGGTGGCTCCGCGGGGATATCGGCTGCAGGTGGAGCAGGGATGGGGAAGGCAGGTGTGGGTGCTCAACCCCTCTGCAGGAACCCACCCATGGGTGGGACAGAGGCGGGGGTTGGCCGGGGCTGGGTTGCCTGCGGATTTAACCCGTGAGAGGCCCCCGATTCTGCATTGTGAGGGCAGAGAAGGGCAGGGGTCTCTGTTGTGTAATGAGGTGTGTCAGGGCTCTGCAGCCTCCCAAGCCTGGCGTTCCCCTGCCTGAGCTCCCCGTGGTACAAACGTGTCCCTGCGCGGTGCCAAACGGGGCGCTGGGGCACGATCTGGGGACAGCCCGTAGGTAGTGGGGGTTGTTTATCCCCCAGGTCCGGAAGCGCTCTGCTGGGAAGGAAAGGGAGGGGAGAGTCAGGGCTGTTCCCAGCACTGGAGTGGGAGGAATGCTCCCAGCTGTGCCCTAAGACATCCCCGTATGAGTGGTCCCAGTTATCCTCAGCCTCCAGCATCACCCCTTCCAACTCTGTCCCCAGCTCCGTGGTGGCTCTGCAGTGACTGGGGAAGCTCAGGTGACCCGGGACAGGAGGGACAGTGACAGGTCAGTGCTGTGACTCTCGGCTTGGGGTTTGGGTGCTGTTGCCTGACACAGTTGGGTGTCCCTGTCTGTCTGCCCTGTCCTCCTCTGTCTTTCTGGGGACAGAGTGTGGAGGGGACGTGTAAGGAAGCAGCTCCTTTGCCCTACAAGTGTGGTTTTCCTGGGGATTTCCTGGCTGATGTAAGACAGCGCATGGGGAAAACATCGGCCTGGAGCCCGAGGTGCTCCAGGAGTTGTCTCCATCCAAAAAGGGGCCTTGCTTTAAAATCTGGCTTGGTCCCTTTGGGTCCATCAAGATGGACCCCTCGGGGGGCAGGGGAGTGTGGGTGCCGGTGGAGGATGTTGGTGGTCTCCTGTGCCAGGGAGAAGGTGCAGAGCCCCAGGGAGCAGCTGGAGCGGAGACACAGCCATCACCTGCCCCAGCACCCTCATCCCCAGCCTGGGGGACATATCCAGTGCCTGTCCTGACTGTGCCATCACCCTTTGAGAAGCCGGTGGCACCACCATGTCCCAGGCAGGAGGTACAGCAGAGCCCCAGGGAGGCACAGGGGACCTCAGCAATGGTGAGACCCCCATCCATCCCCCCTGTCAGCACCAATCTCTGTTCCATCCTGGCCCCATTTCTCTTGGATTTTTAATCCTAAAAACACCTTTTCACCCCAAACCTGACTTGCAGTGTGCTGGACAGGAACTCCTGTCCCCATGTTCTCCCCAGGTGCCATCCACACTGTGTGGGGAGGGTGGCTGGTCCCAGATGGAGCACGGGGGACACAGAAATTAGCACTGGAGGGGAAGACAATCCCCAAAGCATGAGGGATCCCTGCATGGCCCACCTTAATCCATCCCCCAGGAGCTGAGGAGGCCTTTGAACACCGTGACGTGGTCATCAACAGCCAGGACAAGGTTTCGGATGTGTACACACAGCTGGAGAAGCTGGGGCAGTGAGTGAGGGTCCCGTGTTCCCACCAGCTGGGGATGGCCCGTGGCTGTCCTTGCACAGCCCTGGTGGGATGCAGGCGGGGGGTGGTGGCTCCTCCATCCCTCATCCTCCCTCTGTCCCAGGGGGAAATTCGGGACCGTGTACCGGCTGCAGGAAAAGGCCACCGGCAAAATCCGGGCTGGGAAATATTTCCGGACACGCACGGCGAAGGAGAAGGAGGCGGCTCGGGCCGAGGTGGAGCTGATGAACCTCCTGCATCACCCACGCCTCGTGCAGTGCCTCGACGCCTTCCAGGGCCCCACCGAGCTGGTGATGGTGATGGAGTAGTGAGTGGTGGGGCAGTGCTGGGCTGTGCCAGGGGGAGCACTGAAGGTTGGGGGGAGGTCCCTGTGCTGTGGGGTGTGGGATGGATGGGGAACCTGGTGACTCTGGAGTTCTGAGTGGTCAGGGCATCTCAGAGTGCTGAGTCTGGGCTCTCTGGTGGGGCTTCCCTCCCTTGGGGCTGATGAGATCCCAAAGGGTCCCCAGCACCTCGTTGTCCCCAGCGTGGAGGGTGGGGAGCTCTTTGAGCGCATCGTGGACGACGACTTCGAGCACACGGAGCCCAGCAGTGCCCAGTACGTGCGGCAGATCCTGGAAGGGCTGCAGTTCATGCACGGCCAGGCCATCGTCCACCTCGACCTCAAACCCGAGAACATCGTCTGCGTCAGCCCCCGCAGCCACTGGATCAAGATCATCGACTTTGGCTTGGCACGGAAGCTGGGTGAGCAGGGAGGGGCTCCTGGAGGTCCAGGGCAGGGACTGTCACTGTCACAGGGACAGGATCTGGCCTGGCACAGCAATGAGGAGCTTGGTGTCCTCCTGCCTGGGACACCAAACCAGGGCCTCTCCTGGTAAGCACACGATGCTCTGGGGAAAGCTGTGTCCCCCCAGTCCTGCTGCTGAGGTGGGGACCCCCAAGGCCCCCGTGCCTGTGGGTATTTGGCAGAGCACAAAGCTGCTCTAGGAGAGCACCAAAGCCTGCAGTCGGTCTTGGAGGGTGACAGCTCCACCTGGGCACGGGGGTTCATCCACCTGGGGCATGTCCTCTGTCCCAGACACCTGTCCCAGGGCAATCCCTGTCCCAGGGCAATCCCTGTCCCAGGGAGATCCCAACTGGCCTTCTGCATCCTCTCTGCAGCTCCAGACACCCCCGTGAAGGTGTTGCACGGCACCCCCGAATTCATGGCTCCAGAAGTGGTCGCCTTTGAGCCTGTGAGCTTCTCCACAGACATGTGGAGCGTTGGTGTCATCTGCTACATCCTGTGAGTGCCCTCCTGGGCAGGGCAGGCTGGGCTGGAGCGGGGGCTGAGTTGTCACTGATGCCCTGGGTCACCCCTTCAGGCTGAGCGGGGAGTCGCCCTTCCAGGGGGACACCGACATGGAGACACTGAGCAATGTCACAGCTGCCCAGTGGGACTTTGAGGAGGAGATCTTCTCAGAGATCTCCCGGCAAGCCAAGGACTTCATCAGCCAGCTGCTGCAGAAGGACCCCCGGTAGGGCCTGGGGGTGGCTGTGGGCAGCTCAGCTGGAGCTGGGCTGGATTTTGGAGTGCTGAGGAAAGCTCTGCCTGTTTGCTGGAGGTGACACTCCAGGTGGGGGTCTGAGGGTGGAGCAGCTCCCTGTGACCCCCCCTCCCCCTGTGTGCTGCAGCCAGCGGCTCCCGAGTGCGGGGGCTCTGGTGCACCCCTGGCTGCAGCAGCCCCAGCCCAGCAGCCCCAAGGCGCTGTCCAAGGAGAGGATCAGGCAGTTCCTGGCGCGTCGGAAGTGGCAGGTACCTGGTGGCATGATGGGGGTGAGGATGGGGATGGCTGAAGGGCTCAGTGCCCATTCTCTGCCCTGCAGAAAACAGGGAAAGCCCTGCTGGCTCTCAAGAGGCTGACCCTGCTGTCCCAGAGCCCGGAGGGGAAGGCATCAGAGGCTCAGGATGAGGAAGGTGATGGCCCCTGAGGTGCCGTTCCCAATGCCCCTCCCAGCCCATTCTCTTTGCTTTGCCATCTCCACCTTGTGCTCCTGGGCAGCTCCTTTTTGCTCCACCCTGGGTGCCACTAAACACCCAGGCATGGCCCCACAGTGGCATTTCTGCTCCAGGGCCCAAGTTCTCTCCGTCCTCATCCCTGTGGGGCAGTCTCCGATGCAGCCTTGGGCTCATCCCACTCTGTGTGAGCCAGAGCTGATCCCCACGGGTCCCTTCTGCACCTCCAGCACAGGGGAGAGGTTGGATCCAGCCAGCTCCTCACTCTGCCCATCTCCTGCAGGCCTGGGGAAGGAGCAGCCCTCGGGGGCTCTGCCCCAACGAGGTCCCAACCCCTCGGAGCTGCTGATGGAGCAGGAGGAGGAGGAGGATGGTGGGAGCATTGCAGCCTCAGGGCAGTGACAGCGTGGCCCTGTCACCCCCATCCTGGATCACCTGGAGAAGATGGGGATGGTGCCCCCTCCAGCAGCTCCCACAGTGCCCTGGCCAGCCTGGCACAGACCCAGACCCCCCTGTGGGTGAGCTCTGGGGTCCCAAGGTGTCCCTGCAAGGAATCCAGGCACCACTAATAAAGCACTGACAATCTCTGCACTCCTTTTGCTGGTCCTTTTTGCCCCAAACTCACTGGGACAGGAAGGAGCTGCTCCAGCTGTGCCCACCCTTTGGGAGCTGGGCTCAGGCTCTTGCCCACCTGGATATTCCTCAGAGTATTCCTTCCCTTATCAGGGGCGTTGGCATCATGTCCTGAGCTCACACGAGCCAGGATCAGCCTTGAGGCCTCTGGTCTCATTTCTGGGCCAGCTCTGGTACCAGTAGGGCCGGACACTGCTGTGGGACCTCCAGCCTTGGCCAAAGGAGGCAGAATTTGGGAGATCTCAGTGTTTGGGAGCCCTGGGGAAGAACAAGCCCAGGCAGCCGGGTCTGCTGGGGGACACCCAGCTGGGACAGAGATTGGATTGGGGGTCCTGCTGGGCACTGGGGTGACCATGAACCATCAGTGTGCCCTTGGCAAGAGGTGAATGGGACCCTGGGCTGCAGGAGGAGGGAGGGATCATTCCCAAATTCAGCAAGGCCACCCCAGCAGGATTGTGCTGTGATCTGGGGCCCCACTGCAACAGTGACAAGGGGTAGTGTCACACAGGGGCCAGTTTGATGAATGATGAGGGAAAACCTGGAGTCACTCACACACAAGGAATGTCTGGGAGGATTGTTCAGGGAAGAGGAGGCTCAGAGGTATCTCATCACCTCACATCAATACCTGAAGGGAGAATGGAGCCAGGCTCTTCTCAGCAGTGCCCAAAGTCCATGGGCACCACCTGAAACACCTCAGGAAACCTCAGGAAAACGTTTCTTTGCTGCTGTTGGAGCACTGGCACAGGTTGCCCAGGGCCTCTGTGTGCTCTTCAGCCTTGCAAATATTAAAAATCTGTGCAGGCACAGTCATGGGGCCCCTGCTGGAGCAGAGATGTGGACCAGGTGCCCTCCAGAGGCTCCTTCCAGCATTAACCGGTGTGTGATTCCATGGAAACTCTCCTCCTGCTGAATCAGGGCTGGGGGCTGCTCTCCTCCAGCCCCTGCTGATGCCAGAGGAGCTGCCCTGCCTGGAGCAGCCCAGCCCTGTGCCCAGCACCGGGGTCCAGCTGTGCCAAATAATGCACAGCTGCAACCAACCCTTCCTCCTCCTCCTCTTCCTGGAGCAGGGGCGAGGAGGAAATTGTTATTTTTATTAAACAGAACCGAATCCACCCACCCACGCTATGGGGGACACGTCTGGGAGCCACTCACGGGACACGGCTGAAAGGGACACCAGCCCTGGGAGCTGCTGCTGGAGCAGTGATGACAAATCTGCTCTGGAGAATTTGCTGGACCCTCTGGGAGCTGGTGGCCATCACAGCAGGAGGATCCACGGCAGGAATTGGCATCCTGCAGCCTCCAGAGATGGTGGAGCAACCCCGAACCCCTTGGCTGGGGGCGCTGTGGCTCTGCTCTTCTCTTGGGCTCCTGCAGAGGGATGTGTCACCTCCCTGTCCCCTCGTGCTGGGACAGACAATTCAAGCCAGCCCAGCTTTATCAGCACCCAGGCCTGATTGCATTTCTGTGGCAAAGGCCTGTTCCTGTTAATAATGCCCGTGGCTGATGGGTCCATTTGAGCACGGGAAGCAGGAGAGCTCTGGGGGGTGGCAGATTGTCACACGCCCTGCCTGGGGCTTGGTGCTCTTATCTCTTGTTGGAAATGAAGGATGAAATTTAAGGAGGAACTTTATTTGGAAACTTGTGGATGGACCTGCTGCTGGAGATGGGGGAGAGCTTTTGGAAATTCCCAATGTTTCCTGGAGCAGAGGAGGCTCAGGGGGCCCTTCTGGCTCTGCACAAGTCCCTGGCAGGAGGGGACAGCCGGGGGGGTCGGGCTCTGCTCCCAGGAACAGGGACAGGAGGAGAGGGAACGGCCTCAGGCTGGGCCAGGGGAGGTTCAGATCGGATATTAGAGGAAAATGTCTTCCTCCAGAGGCTTGTGCAGCCCTGGCCCAGCTGCCCAGGGCAGTGGTTGGGTTTAAAAGCCATGTGGATGTGGCACTTGGGGACAGGGGTCAGTGGTGGCCTCGGCAGCGCTGGGGAATGGCTGGACTCGATCTCAGAGGGCTTTTCCAACCTGAATAACTCCGAGATTCCTTGCAGGGTCCAGCACCCGTGAGAGACATCCTGACAGAACTCACCTGCTTCCTATTGCTCCCATTTTCAGTAGGAGCCGTGGATTCCCTGCTCCTGAAACTCCTTAGAAACAAATAAACAAACAAAAATATTCCATATTCTGCCCACAGCGTTTCCCATCCCAGAGTAACACAGGGAGGCTGAGGAAAGCCTTTCCCACACATCACATCCCGGTTTCTACCCTCCATCTCTTCCATGTTTTCCTCATTACACAGATTCCAAACCCATCCCTTGGGAATGGCGCTGAATGTGCTCAAGCTGCAGATGATAAGCAAACACCAAGTTGTGTGTAATCAATCCCCTTGATGAGCTATTTACCATGTGACATTACCAAAATATTTCTGGTTAGGAACAATGTTTATCTTCCTCTGTTTTCCAAACTCCTCATGGCCCTGAAAATCCAACTCCTAGGACTCCAGGCATGAACTTTTTCTCTCTTAACCTGTATTTATACCGTAAAAATCTGATTTACCTACAGAAGAAGCTTATTTACAGACAGAAAACACGTGTTCCATCTCCTTCTGCTGCTGGCCATGGCTTAACACATTAAATTCTGCAATTCAGGATGGAAAGGAGAGTGAATTATACCTGGAACTCATTACAGCCCCCGAGAAATTCAGCAGTGCTGAAAATAGAATTCTAATCTCGGGGTCTCAGAGGCAAAGGAATTAAGATCTTTTCCTTCCATCAAGACAGACTCTTGGGTTGACCTTCTCTTCAGCCACACAACCCCAGGGAATGTCCTGAAATCCTCAGGAATCCTCCATGGGGCCAGAAAGGATGAGTGGTGTCCCCTGGGGAGTGTTGAGAAGTGGTTCTCACCTTATCCCAGGTATCTCACGTATTTCAGGTGCCCCCAGGTCCAGCTCTGAGGAACATCAGGTGGGGTCAGCAGTCCAAATACCCTCAAGTTTCTGGAACTTTTCCTTCAGTGCCAGGGGATCAGATAACCTCGAGCTGGGCAATCTAAACCTGGGAATGTTTGTTTGGATGAGGGGATATTGCCTGGGTAGCTCTAACATCAAAAAATTGGGTGCTTTTTTGTGGACTTGCAAATTCAGGGGGAAAAAAAATTAATCCATTCCTGCTTGTGTTTTTCAGGGAATTGAAATTAATTAAGAAAACAAAGTTAAGTGTCTGAAATCAGCCTTAATGTAAAAAATGTAGGCCTGGGCACATAATGATGATTATTTGAATGTGTCATTTCTAGATTGGCTTTTTTAAGGACTTTTACCATGAGAAGTGACCAGCCCTGGGTTAACTGGAGTTGTTGGGTAAGCACCCTGATGTCCCAAGCACCGTGTGAAAGGAGAGGAGCCACGGGGGAATGAGGACAGGGTGGTGACAAGGGACCACATCCTTGTCCACGTGGGCAAGCCAGAGGTGAGGGTGGCTCGATGGAGGGAGAAGCTGAGCATGCTGAGGGAACATCAGGACCACCTGAGCTGGGACGCACTCACCGGCCAGCAAAGCTCCCCAGGTGAAGAGGACACTCAGTGTCCTCACTTCCCAAAGGTCCCAGCCAGGTTCTGAGGGGTCAGGAGGCTCTTGGAGGTCACAGGAGCTCAAGAACCCTCACCCCAAGGTGCAGCACCCAGGGGAAGAGCAGTGAAGTCCCCTCACCAACCACGGTCTGGGTGGTTTCCCATCTCCCGAGACATCCCAGTGCCTGGGGCTGGGCAGGGTGATCCCCCAGCTCATCCTGCTGCTGGCACTGGTGCAAGGACTGCCCTGCACCAAACACCTCCAGCAGCCCAAAATCCAGCCTGGCCTCCCTGTTTCCAGCTGGGAATCAGCAGAATCCAAACCCCTCGTGGAACATCTCCCCCTGCAAAGGGCGCTGGAGCCGCGTCCCTGCCCGTGGCACTCCCGGCTTTCCCAGCCCCGTCCCCGCAGCCCTCCCCGCGGCCAGGAGATGGAACTGTTGGTCTGGCCCTGCTCCTGCTGGGGCTCCAGAGCCTCAGCCGGGCTCCTCGCCCCGCTCCTCGCACCCTTTTCCAGCCGAGGGCAGGAAGGTGTTGCCTGGATGCTCCGACAGCTCTCGGGTCTCATCCCAAACCGGCTGTGGCTGCCCCATCCCTGGAAGTGTCCAAGGACAGAGCTTGGAGCAGCCTGGTCTGGTGGGAGATGTCCCTGCCCATGACAGGGGTGGGACTGGCAGCTGTTCAAGGCCCATTCCAAACCATTCCGTGATCCTGGCATGCAGCAAGGTGCTCATGGAGTCCCCACAATCCCTGTCCCCTGTCCACACTGAGCCAGCGTGGGATGGAAGCCCTGGTCCCACACATGGTCCAGGGGACAATATTCCCCCCTCTGGGACCGCACCAGGGTGGCTGTCCCATGCCCAGAGAGGATCACTGTGCCTTCCCTTGAAAACCTGGATCCAGAAATGGAATGTAAAATATTTCATGAGAAGCTGAAATATTTAACAAAAGAGATTTTGACTGCGGAATTGAGCCTCGGAATATGAGAACAACCCCAAATATGGGTGACCCCAGTTTTGGTGCTGCTGAGCTGTCCATGAGTTCTCTCCCAGCCCCCAAATCCCCAGGGACGATGGAATGGAGACAACATCTCTCCAGGGAATCTGTGCCCACTGTCCTGGCGTGTCCCCTGCCCGGGGTTTGGGGTTTGCAGAGGGTGGGGGAGGTTGGCAGAACAGGCCGGGCGCGTTTCCCCGGTCCCTGCGGTGCCGGGGCTGACACCTGGCAGGTCCTGCCGGGCCGGATGGATCCAGCAGTGCCTGGGGCAGGGGGTTCAGGCCACAGAGCTCCTGGGGCTGCCCAGATCCCCTCTGGATCCGTCCCCATCCCTCAGCACCGCTCTCCTCGGATCTCAGGTTTTAGCAAATGTCACCAAAACTCAGTGAATCTCACCGAGTCTCACCCAATCTTGGTGAATCTCACTAAAAAGCACCAAATCTCACCAAGTTTTACCAAATTTTGGTGAATCTCACCAAATCTCAGTGTCGGTCACTGAAGCTCACCGAACCTCAGCAGAGCAGGTGTGTCCTGGCAGGGCTCGGGGTCCATGGTCCCAGCAGGATCCTGGGATGTGCCGCGCTCGGGCCAGGAGCTGCGTGTCCATGGGGGGAGTCCGGTGCCACCTCCCGATCCTGGTGCCACCTCCCGATCCCGGTGCCACCTCCCGATCCCTGTGCCACCTCCTGATCCCGGTGCCACCTCCCGATCCCTGTGCCACCTCCTGATCCCGGTGCCACCTCCTGATCCCTGTGCCACCCCCTGATCCCAGTGCCACCTCCCGATCCCTGTGCCACCTCCTGATCCCGGTGCCCCATCCTGA